GTTAATTCATTTTATTATATTCTTTTATCAAATTAAAAATTTTGACAAATTTTACATAATTTTTTATTTTCCTATTTCTTTACAAAATTGAAAAGTCACAAAAAATATGTTAAATATTAAAAAGCATTCTAGAACAAGACATCAAGTGAAATATTTTTGTAGTAAATGTAAAGGAATTTATGTTGACCTAAGAACTAAAAACAAACATTCAATAAACGCCACAAACACATCCATTTTGTTACAAGATGAAAATGATCTGATGATTGAATCATCACGACACTCATTTATTAATAAAGAATTTTCTATTGAATATCAAGAAGATGTATTGCAATTGGACAATTTAGCAATACTTTCTTCGAAAATGAGAAAACGGAATAGAAAAAATACTCTTTTAGAGTACGACGAAATAAATCAAGAAGTTTTTAGTAGTAATAAAAATGACCATGAAGAAATTAATAATGATATTGATAATATCAATGATTATATATACGAGTTCTGATAGTTCTGATAGTTCTGATGGTAACGATAATGATGATAATAGTGATGATAGCAATGATGATGATGATGGTGATGATGGTGATGGAAATGGCGGTGATGATCATGAAACTGACATTTTCAAAGATTACTCTCCCCCAAATTATGATTTTCCAGAAAATTTTAATGATTTGCAAAATATTGACGAAGATTGGATTATCGTATTTATTTTAAGATTTTAAACTAGATTTCGTTTACCAGATATTGCAATCGATACATTAATTAAATTTGTTAAACATGTTTTAACAGAATTAGATCATGAACGGTTTAAAAATTTTCCTACTTCTTTATATACTACAAGAAAGAAATTGGGATTGAAGCATCAATTCGTTACTTTCTCTGTATGCTCTTCGTGTCATAAGTTATATAATATAGATGATGTTGAATAACATACAATTTGTGAGCAGAAAGTAATAAAAAAATGTGATTATATATAATTTTCAAATAATCACCATCATTCTCTTCGAAAATGCGATACTCTTTTATCAGAACAAAAAGAACTAAGAGGTAATAATATTGTTAATTCACCATTATTGATTTATCCAATGGCCAGTATAAAAGATCAACTTCTACATATGTACCAAAGGCCGGATTTCGAAAAAAATCTTAAATTATGGGCTGATCGAAATGTTGAAAGAGAAATACTATGTGATATATATGATGGTGAAATTTGGAAGAATTTTTTAAATAGCGGAATGGTATATAATGCAAATGAAGAGGAAATATCAGATGAAGAAAAATTTTTCAATAAAGAACATGCGGATGATCATTTAGGTATTATGATCAATGTTGACTGGTTCCAACCGTTTGAAAGAACGGTTCATAGTAGTGGTGCTATATATGGAGTTATTTGTAATCTTCCGAGAAAATTGCACTTTAATACTAAAAATATGCTTATTTTAGGATTAATGCCAGGTCCTAATGAAGCAAGTTTACACTAGATAAACTATTATTTAGCACCAATCATTGATCAATTGCTAGTTTTCTGGAATAGTATAATATTAGAATGAACTTTTGAACATTCAACAGGAAGATTAATTAAATGTACAGTGATTGCCTATTGTTATGACATACCAGCCGCCAGAAAATTGTATGGTCATATATCGGCCAATGTATGTTGTCACAGATGCACTAAAGTTGCAAGAAATAGAAACTTTAGTGGCATAGATAATATTGATGAATGGTTTATTGCTAAGGATGCGAACGAGCATTGGAAAGCGGCATTAAAATGGAGAAAATGTAAAAACAATGAAGCTAGAAAAAGGCATGTGAAGAAGACACATGTGAGATGGTCTGAGATGCTCCGTTTACCTTATTTTGATCCATTCCGTTTTTTACCTGTAGATCTGATGCATAATTTATTTGTCAGAATCGCATCTTTTATCGTAAAACAACTTTGGTTAGGACATGGTAAAATAACATTAGAGGATTTAACAAAATTCAAAAACATATGAATAATATCCACCCACCATCAGAAATTGGACGAATTCCACATAAAATTGATATTGGTGAAGGGTTTTCTAATTTAACGGCTAATGAATGGAAAAATTTCTTTTTAATATACGCTAGAGTTGTTATTTGGAATTTTTTAAATTAGGAAGATCGAAAAATATTAACTCATTTTAGTCAAGCTTGTTTTATATTAATTCAAAGAATAGTAACAGTAGAAAATTTAAATATTGCATATGATCATTTAATTGAACTTTTAAGACTTATCGAAATTAATTATGGAGAGAATTTGATAACGCTAAATTTACATCTTTCATTACATTTAAATGAATGTTGTAAAGATTACAGACCTCTTTACTCATTTTGGTGTTTTTCGTTTGAGCGGATGAATGGAATTCTTGGTCGGTATTTACGATTATTTTAACCTTCAAATCATTTCAAATTATTGATTATAATTCTGCAATTATATATACAGAAAGTTTACCTAATAGTAGACGAAAAATAGAATCAGAAATTATGCGATTTATGATGCAAAGTTCACAAATTGAACGAA